ATACACATTTTTTTTTGCTGTTCGCTTTTACTTATTTTCTGAAATTAAAGCTATGGACGTTTTCCGCATATAAGACTTATTTAGAAGTTTTAGAAGCTCATGTTTCGGTAGAAAATGGAAAAAAAACGAAAATGAAATATTTTGATATATTTCGAAAGTTAATGGCGGTAATAATTTTATTAATGCAGTTCGAAAAATTAAATTTGAAATTTTAATGTAAAAAGTATTTATTTTCCAAAAAAGAAGGAAAATATAGTTTTTGGATTTATTTTGAGAATTAATGGTAGTTAAGATTTTTAGCTCAACTAAACAGAATTGCTATAGACGGAGACATTTAGTTGCCTGTAAAGTTCTCAGCCCTGGCAAAAAGTGAAGCTTGCCTTATAGAACCATAGATGCTTATTAATACTTTTAAAACTCAAATTTAGATGGAAATGATGTAAAAATAAATAAAAAGCATCAAAAAATATATGAAGAAATTTGAAGTATACTCTTTATTGAAAGGCCAATTATGTTGCCTTGAATTCTTTTTATTACCCTCCACCCTGCCAAACTTTTCACTGCTTCGATTAACTATAAAACTTATCATCACTTCGCGTTTATTTAATCATTAAAAAAAATCTGAATTAAATGCGAAGAACACATGGGAACGTCGGTTGTAATGTAAATCATGAAAGATGAAAAGCGCTGAAGTTTCACAAAAGCATCACTTATGAACAGGTATTGATGCGGAAGGATAAGCAACAAAGAACAAGCCGTGATCTGAGCCGTGGAACAGCCAATTCGCTCATTTACGACATCGCGCTTAAACCAAAGATCAAAGAGAAAATACAGAAGGTCGTTGGTGCAGAAGAATATAGTACCATCTTCTTGTTGGCATAAAAATTCCCCATCTTTTTACGCCAAATTTTTAATTTTTCTGTCTTTTCCTCTTCTTTGTTGTGTGCGTAACGGCATATCGTGCAGGGGATTGAATATAATGTTTAGCTGTTCGTAACTTTTTCTTATTTTGAATTAGGAAACTTTCCAATATGGACAGCCTACAACAAAATAATCTCATATACTTCCCACTTATAAATACGCATAAATTCATTAAAAATCTGTCTTAGAAAAGAATTTAGACATAAACGAGATAAATTTAAATAAGTTCCCGGACAAAGCTACATATCCATCACTATAATTTTCTTATTTTTTTATTTAATATGGCATTATTATTAATTTCAGTCTATTATTTACTTTATTCTTATTTTTAAGTTGTTATTTGTTGCAACTTTATTCAGGCTGTCGATCTACGGCAAACGTAGATTGCGCATGACCGGAAATAAATGAGAAAGCACTCGATGAAAATATGCCTTTAGGTAGGGACCTCCACAAAAACGCGATATCTAACGTTTAAAATGAATTTTTAATAATGAAAATTCTTTCTCGAAGCTTTTATTTTAGTTTTAATTTCAATCTAAGAGATTAAATGTAATATTTCCAATAAACAAAATACTTTGCTGTATTTCAAAACTAATTTAAATTGATTGGGAAAAGTTGTTTTTTGAAATTTCTAAAATTTTAAATTTTGGCGCCATTTTTAGCAAAGTGTTATAAAAATATAAATCTAATTATTAAAAAATCTTCCAAAAATAAAATATACTTTTCTGAAACTTTAAGGGATATTAGCTGATTTAAAGTATAATAATTCATCTGATTTTAAACAACTATTATTTTTTTAAATTTAAAATATCAGAATTCAACTCTACGGTAGCTTGTTTATTTATTTATGTTGACAGGTTTTTTTTTTTTATTTTAACGCTTCCGTGGCAGCTGATAACGGATAGATTGTTATGTTGTTCTCTATGGACTTTAACTTTTAAAAAATAATTGAGGAATATAACGCGAACGCCTTTTAAGTACTCGGTAATCTTAAAAATTTAAGAAAATATTCTCCATAATCTAACATTTTATTGAATTTTAGAGAATTTTTGCTCTAAATTTATTGTAGGTGTCGCTCTTATTTTCTGATAGTGCCGTGTATGGGCCACCATATCTATAAAATTCGGCAAGTTAACGTACAAAAACAATTTTTTAAAAAAATATTCAGGGGGTGTCAGATTGTAATAAGCTTTACGATTTATGATTAATAAATATAGTTTTAGTTAATAACAATCTTTTCTAAGAGTTACGCCATTGAAAATGAATTTTAAAAGATTTAAAAATATTATAAATTATTCTAATTAAAATTTTAAAAAAATGAAGACAGATTTTGTAAATTCATTTTTTATGGAAATTTTTTTTTCTTAAGGCTATAATGCCCTTAATATATACTATTCGTAGAAACAATTAAAAGCTTCTCTAATTAAACAATGTCTTAGTTTTATTGCGTTTTCGATTCATAGCAGATTTTCGGTAAGACATGGGTCCGATTTTACAAAAAAATAAAAACAAATATAGGTTTTATGCCCCAATAAGGCTCAATATAGCCTTACCGTGAGTGTAAAAATAAAAATAAAAA